TATTATATAACTATCTCACCAATTTTCTTAAGTCCACAATAGAGGAAGAAAGTAAGCAGACCATAATAATCTACTATAGTGAGTTCCAAGATACCTGTACTTACTAAAGCAGAGAGGAGACACACAACATTATTTATAATAGAATCAGCTGACCTAACCCAAAATTTGAAATGAAACCTGAAAATAAGACGCTGTTATCACATTAGTAATACTAAGCATATTATATCAGCCACCATTTATTGAATGCTTCAAGACAGATAATACCATATAATTAAACTTGCACAAAACAACCCTCATACAACAAACAATAAAATGATATTCAGGAAGTAGTAATGATTGACCAAAAACACACACCTATTAAGTTACAGGACTGGAATATGAGCCTACTGTATCACTACAAAACAATATGGTCTTCAACTCAGTCTGAGATTCAGAATCCAATTACAGGAAAATAACAACTTGGAGAAGAAAGGAAAAGAAAAAATAAAGGAGGGAAGCAAAACTTTGGAAACAGAAAAAGTCCGACAGGAATATTAAAACCTACAGGAGCAGGGGAGATAGCTTGGTGGTCTAAGCACCTGCCTGGCAAGCGCAAGGACATGAGTTAGATTCCCAGACGATGGCCACCGAAACTGGGCATGATGGTGTTTGCCTGTAATCCCAGTGTAGGGGAGGCTGAGACAGGAGGATCACTACAAATCTGAAAGACAGGCAGAATCTACACAGATGAGTAAGGGGAGAGGCAGGCCTTCACAGGGAGAACACAGCAGTGGACCAGACAAGTAAATGCTGTGAGCTGCAATAGCTGGCATCTCCAACCCAAGCTTCGCTACCATACCCTGTGCAGAGTGCTTGGCTGGACACCACTCCAGGAAGGGGCTGCTTGAACCTAGGACTCAGAACAGCCCCAGGATGGCTTCCACCCACAGCTGCCAGGGTTATGTCCCCAAGTAATATAAGGTGAGGTGAGGGGCAGGCATAGGCAACAGATGTGGTCAGGGAACTGCAGTGAGGCCGGCAAGAGAACACGTCAAACAGTTTAAGCTAAAAGACAAAAGTCCCACACCCCACAACAACCAGTCTGTATTCAGTCTGAACTGCTCTACATTCATAAGTCACAGAATTGGAAATGTAGCCCTAATCCTAATGCCTATGAGTATCTACATTCAGTCCAGATCTGGGATCTGAGGGCCTTTATTATCCACTATCAGGAGCAATGATAGGTCTTGACATAGCCACTGCCCCAAAAGAGTAGACCCCAGAAAAAAAAACTACATGTGCAAACTTGCAGAGAAATTTCTTTTTTTGTTGTTGTTTTTAGTTTTTTTTTAATTAGAATATTTTATCAATATGAGCATATGTTTTCTGTACTGGTAGTTAACAGTCATTAAAATAAGATTTAGGAATACAATACGGCCTTTTATCACTTAAAGAATTTCATCCCTGGGACTGGGGAGATGGCTCAGTGGAATAAGTGCTTCCCTGGCAAGAGCAAGGGCCTGCGTTCAATCCCTGGTTACACCAAGAAAAAAAAAAGAGTTTCATCCAACCCCATTTTGCTGGGTAAATTTGTCTTCTAATTTCTTTATCTAAAACTTCAAAGAACCTGCCAAACTTCTTAGACCGTGTGAACCTATATGTTCACCACCCATGATAGATAATAAAAAGAATTTTTAGCATATGTGCTGCCAAAGTGAGCCCTGAAATTTTTTTGTTTTTTATTAATTTTATTGAGAAACAAATAGCAATGAGACAGTTTCCAAACAGGTTAGTAGGACAATTTCAATAATTAATACACTGTATACTGTTGTCTTCGGAGTAGTTACTCATAGCACAAGATGCAGACATGATATCCTGTCCAAACACTATTAGTAAAAATCCTTCCTCTCACTGAACTAAGAGAAAGCAGCTGTACCTCTATCCTAACTATTTTGTATATACAGATACAAAATGGTCCCTCATTTATATCCCCTTTTCTTGTTTAGTTTTGTCAGAGATGGGTATTCCATTGCCATTTAAATATTGTAGGTGTGTGAATTCAGCAAAATAATCCAATATCATCCAGTAGTCTATAATAGTAGTGGTTTTCCGTAGGACTGGCAATGTCAGAAGTTGTTGACTTGAGCCTTTTACAGCTCAGAATATTAATATGGCTTTATGTTATTTTTAGTTTTGGTGATTTTTTTTCCTGCATTTTTGGTTGTTTGTTTGTTTGTTGTAATTATCAGTGTTATTTTAGGATTTTTTGTTTAGTTTGATTTGGTTATATTTCAGGTTCATTTTCTTCTTATTCCTTATCTATTTCTTCAACAGGTTACTAAATCTTGGGGAATTTTTCTTTGTCCTTTTTCTGTTTGATTTTCTCTCTTACTTTTATTCTTTATATGAATTCTTTTTTATTCTTTTTTCTTTTATTTTCTATTTCTGGTCAGTTTTTTTCCCTCATCATT